GTCCAGCATCCAGCAGAAACTCAAGGCCCCAAGGTTGCAGCTGGATCTCCTGGAGATGACAGCATGGTCTTCGTACTGGCAAGATGTTGTGAAGTACATTAAGCAGAGTACATGGACTTGTGTGAGACCTCTGAGGCCTAACCTCCTCCTTTCTCAGAGAATGAGATCAGACCTAGAGGATGTAATTGAACTTCTTAATGAAACACAGTTAAACTGGAACAGAGATGAACTAGAACTGAGGTCTCTTGTCTCTTTTCTGCCGCTCCCTACATTAATCCATCGGGTGTAAAAAGGTAGCATTAATTTACTGAAAGATGATTGATATCCACCTTTATCTGAGAAAGCATTAGTGGCAATTTTCAATTAAAGAAGAATATATAATAATCATTTAAACAATGGCAAAAAGAATAAGAGACATTTACTCAAGGGAGCAGATGAGGGAGCATTGATACTAAAGATGCTACCTAGGAATATAATACGAAACTTAAATACTTAGATTTAGCTTTGAGTTTCCTAAAGGCCAAGGTTAAAATGAAAACATTCTGAGTTACACATGCTTCATTATCTAAAGAAAGCACTTGAAGTCTCACAAAAATATTATCCAAATGTTAAATTTATGAAAATATTAAACGGTGAAACCATCAGCTATATTATAAAAGGCAGTGTCCTTAGTAATACTTTTATAAAAATATAGGAAAATTCTTTATAGAGTAAATTGCAAAATTTTGCTTGTAACTAATTCAGTGATTCTTTGGGAACCTAAGGAATTAGGGTTCAGGTATGTACATTTGTGATGACTTGATTTGGTTTAGAGTTAGAGTTTAAAGTCCTTAAAGCAGTAGTTTTCAAATGACAATGTATAAATAATTTATTTTGGGGAGATCTTCTTTTTATGTGGATTTACTGTCCCCTCCCAACCTAGCCCCAATTCTGATTTTTTATGTCTGAGAGGGAATCTCTGTGATGAGCAATCTCTGCTTCTGATGCAGGTGGCCTGTGGACTTCATTTTTTAAAATATATATTTTTAATTGTAGATGGATACAATACCTTTTATTTATCTTTATGTGGTGCTGAAGATCAAACCCCGGGCCTCACATGTGCTAGGTGAGCACTCTACCACTGAGCCACAACTCTAGCCCCAGTGGACTGCATTTTGAGAAACACCAATGTAGAAGAGTTGTTAGTGTGTCCTTAGCATTGACCAGCCCATTTGAATATCAGTTTTCTCCACCTGGTTTGTGATAAGCAGCCAACAGCCTGAGATGATGTCTCAAGAGAGATCCAGGAAGTGCAAAGGCCATGGGTTGTTGATTCAACAATGATTCTGTGTTTTCTATGCCAGGAGCACAGGAAGTAAAGAACTCAAAGCCATGAGGAGCAGGAGGTATGTGTGTGGTGTGCGGGTGAGAAGGGCCTGGGGAGAGATGGGAGAAGAGAAGCAGATAGTAAGGCCAGGCTGGGAGCTCCAATGTCAACCATTGCTGTTTTCTCATTTTCCCAAGTCCAACTCATTTGGCTTCTGCTGTGTACACTGGTATTGGTGCCTGGCTCTGCTATCTTTGGTCATCATTTATGGGAAAACGTTCCTGGAAATTTGTTCTGAATCAGAGAAGTGGGGAGGAAGTAGCAGTTCATAGAGCTCTATGATTCCCAAGGCTTTTGTGGGGCCCCAGATACACTGAAACAATACACACAGATGTGTGTATAGGCATAAGAGTATTTTGTGTGTGGGGGAGAGGGGAAGAGGTTCCAATTGCAACTTTAATTGGAGTTTCAAAGACGCCATATATGATCCCAAAGTGGGTGTCCTGGGCATCCCTGGCCCAGCTCAGGGTTCATTAAGCTCTGAGTTCAGATCTGTGTACTCTTATTACATTCCATCCTCAGGTCAGTTACATGACAACTCTCTGGGTGACAGGCGGGTCATTAAGTGTCCCTTTCTCTCCAAGAAACACCCTTCACACCTAATCTGAAGATTATGGTAGCAAACTTGTCAGGAATAATTTTGATAAATTGTTTTGGATAATTAGTCCCTTTTAATTTCTCATGGAAATAGTAATTTTAGGTGACAAGATTATTATATGCTGCTTGTTAGCAGGCTCTCCAGGGTCAAGAAAACACCACCGAGATGGCTATTACCTGTTCTTTCCCATTTTTGGCATTACCCTTGATATACAGAAAAGACATTCAGTAAAGTCTGCTCCCACTCTGTGGAAAGCACAGAGCACTGGTTTCCTTTTATCCTTCTGCCAAGTGAAGGATTAAAGCAGGACTTTCAACTTTTCTCTGCTACTGCCAGCCCATGTCAGGCTTCACAGACTTGCTGATCATTAACTTGAAAAGCTGGGGGAAGTTTTTATCTCTTCCATTTGCTTGTTTACCTGTTCAGCCAAGTTGCTTTACAACTGAGTGGGTTTTGAATAAACAGGGTCCTGGGCGGTCAAATATTTGACTCAGCTCAAGTGGAATATTTTCATTGCTTTTCACTTCATTGAACATGAGGGTCAGTTTGACAGGTCAACATGGGTTTGCCTAATGGTTCACCTTGTACCAATCCAGGAGAGGAGTGGATGGAAGGGAGAGAACTCTTCTCAGCAGTTTAGGAACCTGGGAACTGATTGGCTAATTATTTACCAGTTGCGTCGTAATGGGCCATTTGTCTGACCTTTCTAAATCCTCATTTCATCATCTGTCAAAAGAGTGAAAGAATACTGCCTAGCTCATGGCACAGCTGAGTGAATTACATGATAAATAAAAACTCAGTGCATAGCAAGAATTGAACCAAACAAAAGATACAGGGATTGGGAGAAAATATCTGCACTCCATGTATTTGAGAAGGGGTTAAGATCCAAAACACTTAAGGAATTCATACAACTTAATAGCAAGAAAACAAATAGCCTGATTAAAAAAATAGGCAAAAGGTCTGCATAGATATTTCTCAAAAGAAATTATACAAATGCCTAGCAAATCGATGAAAAAAAAAATGCTCAACACTACTAATCACCTAGGAAATGTAAAATCAAACCACAAAGATAGGTCACTTTACACCCATTAGAATGGCTATTATCAAAAAGACAAAAGCTAAGAGTTGGTGAGGATGTGTTGATTAAAATGTAAATTAATACATCCTCATTTTGGAAAACTTCATGAAGTTCTCCCAAAAAACTAAAAACAAAATTACCATATGATCTAGCAATCCTACACCTGAGTATATAACCAAAATAATTCAAATCAGTATGTGAAAGAGACATCTTCACTCCCAGGCATGCAGCATCCTCACAATAGCCAAGATAGAGACTTGACCTAACTGTTCATCAACAGACTACTGGATGAAAAAAAATGTGGTAAAAATACAAAATAGAATACTATTCAGCCTTAGTAAAGAAGGAAATTTAGTTATTTGGGATAATATGGATGAACCTCGTAGATAGCATGTTAAGTGAAATAAGCCAGGCACAGAAAGACAAATACTGCATGATCTCATTTACAGGGGAAATTTAAATATTCAAACTCATAGTGGTGGATATTAGAATGGTGCTTATCAGAGGCTAAGAATCTGATGGCAGGGGTGGTAAATGGCTAGCTGTTGGTCAAAGGGTATGAAGTTTCAATTAGAGGAATACATTTTAGAGATCTCTTGCACAACATGTGAGTGCAGTTAACTAAAATATATTTGAAAATCTCTGAAAGAAATTTTAACTGTTCTCATCATGGAAAGAGATAAGTATATGTGAGGTAATGGGTATGTTAGCTTGATTGAATCTTTCTACAATGTATATATATATCAAAATATCACATCATATTCCTTAAATATGTATGACGATTTGTCAAATAAAAGTAAAATTTTAAAGATAGCATGTCCTATTATGATCCTGATATACTTCTCCCCAAATCAAATCTTACAAAGATGTCTTAAGTAGTAGAAGGGTAAGGAATAAATATCACACTCATGCCCAACTGTCTTTACATCCTTAAAACTTGTTAATGTAGATATGTCTAATCCTATATATGCTGACATCCTTTAAAAATGATCAGAGACAAGAGGCAGATAGAAATTATTTCAATGTTATCAATTATGAGGGCTTAACATGGATGTCAATGTAGGTAACCACATTCCTTTAATCAAGGAATTCCTTGATGTGAAACTGGAAGTAAGGAATTTTTATACCTCCCATTTTTTTTTCTCTCTAACTTTCCAATGAAACAAACCAAAGATACTGTTCTTGTGGCAACTTTTCAAAAAATGAGAATTTTGTTCTTTTAGGAAAGTTTTTTTTTGTTCTTTCTCTCCTAGTTTCTTATCTATCATAGAATTTTATTCCCATTCTTTAGAAATTAAATACTACTATATTTGCTGTTTTATGGAGCTCTTATATTTAAACGTTGCATTTTTCAAATTTCATAAGATTTTCTCAAATTTCATAAGGCTTACAGGCTGCACCTTGCTGTCTGTGAATTCATCTTCCCTTGCGGTCCTTCTGAATTTGACACTCACCTTTATTGACATTTCGTAGGTCGATGTTCCATATCTCTTCTCTATTTATTTTACTGTCCAGTAAGGGCTGAGGGAGGAAAAAAATCAAACATTTCCTTAAGGAATAAGGGATAGCTCTCCAGGTATATCCTCAAAGAAGAAATCTTCTCTAAGAACTGGAAATAGGTTCAAAAACCAGAGCCTATGTTATAGATGGCAAAGATCTCTCCTTGTTTTAGCTTAAACCTGAAGCTTTCCTGAGCTTTATCTAAAAGTGGAAAGAGGAGTTTGCATGATATTTTCAATTAGCTTATTTAAATGAACTCCTTGGTGAGATTCCATAGAAATATGAACTATAAATATAAATTATATAGAAAACTAGAGGGTTTATCAGATTGTGTCTAATTATAGAGAAAACAACACAAAGTTCATATAATCTGGATGGTGGCTTGCTAGGCTAATATTCCTGTAGAAAAGGTCAAATCATTCACTTCAGTAATCCTGTTACTTTCTCTACTAGCTGCTGAAGTGTCTGTGTGACCCTTCTTGACCGACTTGAATGTGATCAAATCAACTTGTCTCATGATGTTCTGATGGGATACCAGCAACGGCCTCAGCTCCTAATCTCAAACTTCATCAAAAAGCAACTTGGACTTTGTGACCAGATGTCATAAATTGCCAGTCCAACCCTCCCCAACTTGCAGTTGGTAGATCATGATTTTGAAGCCATGTTTTATTTGTAGCATTTTCCTACAGTTCTCATCCACACACTAAAATCATAATAGAGAGGTTTCATGATATCCCTTTATCTTAAAAATGAATTTATAGGAAGAGAAGTTAATACCACATTAAATGAAATTCAAATTCCATTTTAGAATAAGCTAACTAGATCAATCTAATAATTCAAATTTTAAAAATTCCTGGATTGTGACATTTGGAGTTTTATATGCAGCATTAATTAAGCTCACATCAAAATAGATCAGCCATTTGTAGATACAGTTACCAGTCACTCTGTTGCTGAATCCAATCCAGAAATTCATGTGAGAAAGTTGTCAGGCACTTCTAGGTGTTGGACCAGTGACAGAAATTTGATCATGCACATTCAAAATATTTACAGAAAGAAAGTATCAGTGTACTGTAGGTCTACACATATGAGTTATCCCTAAGGAAATATAACCATACTTCTTTTTTACCCCCGCACAACTTCAGTGTACAACAGAATAGGATTAGAGGTCTATATGTGCCTGCATTTGTGATTTATCACAGAACAACTCTGAGTTACACATTTATTTTCAAATGAAACTTCTTGGTGATGCAAAGAAAGATCTTTTTTGTTCAGAAATCACAAGTGACTAAATTGCCTTCCAGCAATCTTTTTTTCTTTGAACGAAATGTGCTTTGAGGAGGTTGTGTGTGTGTGTGTGTGTGTGTGTGTGTTTTGTTCATTTCAATATGAACCTGAGAAATTACTAACAACTAAATTTAAAGTTGAGTTTAAAATGTTAAAGTAATCCTTTTGTGTGGTTTTGAAGCAGGTCTTTTCTAGACCTCGAATATACTTCCAACCCATTTGATCCTCTGGGAGGCTCTGTGGGTCTCTATGAATTGAGACTCTCAGGCTGCACCTTGCTCTCTGTGAATTGATCCTGTCTGGGGCCTTTTTGAATTTGACATACTGAGGAGTTGGAAAGAATGGGTGGCGGATGGGTGGGGAATGGCTGGCAAACTTGTATAGAATGTAATGTTGTGTACACATATTTATATGGTTGAGACTCAAATAAAACTTAATTCCAACCACGGTATCTGGCTCCTGGAATCATTGTCCATCATTTGTGGCTGAATGGAGGCGTAGAGTGTGATTCCCTGTTGATGGTCAACAGGTTCTAGGCTGGTTGAGTTTGAATTGGCCTGCTCCTGTAGGTGAAAAAGTTTTCTCTCTTTAGCAGCAACAATAAGCAAACCCCTAAAGGCTGCTTTGGTTTGTGAACTTCCTTTGGCAGTAGAGACTTTCGGAGTCCAATTTTTCCATATCCAAACAATTGATCACCAAATACAAAGATCTAAATTTTATCTATCTGCTCCTGGGAAATCTTTACTGGGAGAAGGGGAAGCTATGAGAGATGGAGGGAGGGACAGGCATGAAATATAATTTTCTTTTCAACTCTTCATTAAGAGTGTTTGTGTGTGTGTGTGTGTGTGTGTGTTTTAATCATTACAATCTCGTATCTCAGTAGAAACCTGAGACTCATTTGATGATTCTTTCTTCTTCATTTCCTATCAATCACCAAGTCCTACAAACTGGTTCTCCTAAGTCATTCCCCAGCCTCTCCACATCTTCCAATTCCCTTGCACCTGCCCTGGTCCAGCCTCAATGCTCTCTCCTCCACACCAGTGAGGTGGCCTCACCCTGGAAAGCTATGCCTCCATTTGTGAAGTTCAGTTGATCTACTATCTTGCTTCAAAGCCTTCACACTGGACTAACAAGAACTGCAAAAGGCTCTCAGCATAGCCCATGAGCCCTGTGCTCAGTGCTGGGCCCAGCTGGGTGCTCATGCTCACACCTTCTTCTTCCCCTCCCTCTCCTTTCTCCTCCTCCTCCTCCTCCTCCTCCTCCTTTTTTTTTTTTTGCATCCCCTGACTCCTCAGTTGTGCCCAAGGCCCAAAAGTAAAAAGGCACAGTCCTTCACAAAGGATTTCCCACAGAACCCTCAAATAGGAGTATTCAGCTAAGGGGACAAGTGGAACTTGTTCATCTAGCTGTGAGTACTGGTTCAGCCACATCCAAGGAGAGAGAGGTCTTTTCCTGATTTGTCCAGCAATATTATATAGGATAATGAGGACTAGTTGTCAACATCCCTTCCCATATCAGAGTCTTTTGCTATCTATTCTCCCTGCAGGACCTCCCCTGAGCTCATGCACATGGTTGAATTATGTCGTGATTTAATCAATGCCTGATGCCTAGACTATAAAGGTCTTGAGGGCAAAGACTGCACCTGCTTTATTGACTGCTGTTCCCCTAAGAACCTGAAACAGTGCCTGTGATATACTAGATGCTCAGTAAATACTTGTTAAATGATATTTCAGAGCACTTCCCTACTTCCCTTGTGAACCTCCCTTCATTATGAGCTGGGTGCAGGTGTCAATGGATTTGCTCCACAACACTGCACTGTGGTTCTCAACACTGGGGCCCATTGGGATCACCAGAGAAGGCTTTCAAAAACATCTTTTGAGGCTTCATCTCAGACGAACTCAACAAGAGCCTCTGGGAATGGGACTAGGAAGCTCTATTCTAAAATATATCTCAGGCTGGGCTGAGAGCTGCTGATGCAGAAGAATAAATCCAGAAGATGGTCTTCCAGCTGAGCTGGATGAAAGTCTTCAGATGGTCCCTCCACTGGAATAGTGACAGAGAGGGAGAGCTTTCACTTTACTCTTACGCCTAATGCCAGGAACAGCATCTTCAGCATTTTATGTTCCCAGAAGCATGCACAGAGCCCAGCACATAGTAAGACTGGGGGAATTGATATATCTCACTATAATATACTCTATATCATATGGGATAAAGAGGACTTGTCCTCATTATCGTATGGACATATGATGTATATCCATGTATATGTATATATATCCATATGTAGTTATATACACAGATATAGGGTTGTACATAATTTATATATAATGTTAATATTATAATAATTATCATATATAGTTTAGTGCTCTGAGATTTAAAAAAAAACTAGAATACCTTGAAGAAGACTTCTATACAAGAATGTGTTCTTCTGTTTGTAAATTCTCATGAACTTTCCAGTGCTTGCAACTTGAGAAACCCAATGCTCATCCTATTTTGCTATCTGGCTGCTGGGCATCACATGTTTGATAGAATTGAAAACTTGAATAAAAGACAGATAAATGGCCTCTATTGCTTCCCTCCAAGCTATAAGTCCTGTCATCCTGTCATGAAAGGAAATTAGAATTGTCTGACACATACTGAGCTTCATAAAGCCACACTGTTCCACTTCAGGCTCCTGCACGCCCCTAGACACACCACGAGTGGATTTTTTTGAAGATCTGATCTGCAATTTTCATCCCATGGTGAGAACTAAGTAAACTAATCTTTAATTGTTAAGGTCCCCCTTCAACTCTTTTAAAAACAAATGAACTATAATAGATCTATTTTTTCTTTCTTTGATTCTCTGACTTTCTCCATCTTTTAAGAATCCTAAAATGAGAGCAGTGACTCTGCAAAGTCTCCTAAAATGAATAATTTGAAAAACTTGTAATTTGCAATCTGCTTCATTCTTCAGTCCACAATGATTTCCTCCTTTTCTGATGTGCTTTTCTATTCCTTCCAAACAGACGTCATTCAATCCAGAATCAATTTAACATTTATTTTTCTAAAAAGTGAGCATACCAATTTTCCCTTGAGAACAAAAGCCCACCATTAAACCACCTTTCCCCCGAAACTTTAATTATGCCTTAATAATTATTCTTGTAAGTATAGTTAAAAATTCATTAGGCAAACAACCTAGAAACCAATATCATATATTCTGTAAGGTATTGATCTAGAATCACCTTGCCAAAAGGCAGTAATTTAGGGTTGTGTCTATTTTCCTAAATATCTAAAAGTTCTTAGAAAATCTATTGCTTTCTATAATAGCTTAATTGTTAACATCTTAAACTCTGTCCCAGAGTTGCAGGAATTATCTGGTCTTCTGATTTTTCTTCAACCCATTAGAACAAGAATAAATCCTTAAAAATCTAGATCATTCTTTTTATTTCCAAATAACTTTATTTTTTTTATCTAAGTTCCTTTGCATTCACAATTCCTCCCAACATTACAGCTAACAAGAACAAATGATGAGGTGAAACACAGCAGAGATAAGGTTCTACTTTGGGTAAATGATCAGCCATGAGCACCAGTTTCCTACTCAGACCTGCTGCCTTCACGAGGTGGTTGTACCTTCAGGGCTATTTCGGGATGGCAGAGGACTCATGTCGTTTAGAACTGATTCCACAATTGGTTTCAGGTTGCAATACCACGGACCAAGTCCAAGTAAACAAGGAAATGATGGAACAAATATTAAGAAATATTTTATTTTTGTTTGTTTGTTTGATTTTTAAACTGGGAATTGAACCCAGGGGCACTTTACCACTGAGATGCATCCCCAAACCCTTTTAACTTTTTATTTTGAGACCGAGTTTCATTAAGCTGCTCAAGGCCTCACTGAATTGCTGAGTAAAGTAGGCCATGAACTTGTGATCCTCCTGACTCAGCCTCCTGAGTTGCTGGGATTAACAGGTGTGCATCACCACAACCAACAAGAACCTATTTTCTGTAACTCACAAGGGTAGGTGTTGTGAGAGAGCAAGACAGTCACTTCCTTTAAGCAATTTATAGCCTAATAAAGTTGAGGCACTAAGACAAATATGTGAATGAGTACAATTCAAAAGACAATCTATGTTGGGTGCAGTGGCTCACACCTATGACTCCAGAAACTGAGCTTGGGAGGCTGAGGAAGGAGGATTACAAGTTTGAAGGCAGGCTTGAGAACTTAATGAGACCCTGTCTCAAAATAAAAAATAAAAAGGGCCGGGTATGTAATTCAGTGGTAGAGCATCCCTGGGTTCAATCCCCAGTGCTGCAAAAACAACAAAAACAAAAGAAAACAGAATAATTTGATAGGCTCCAGAAGAAAGGTCGTGGAAATAAAAGTGTTTTGGGGGGGTCAACAGGGAGAGGGTTCATATTAGAGCTGGAAGGATGTCAAAGTGGTTTTGGACAGGTAGGTACTTGGAATGAGCTTAATTTAAGGGACATAATTTTGATACAGACTCTGGGGAAGGTGTTGTCATCAAAGAAAAATCACACACACACACACAAAAAAAAAAACAACAACAAAAAAAAATGAGAAAAACAGAGAACATGACAAGAATAGCAAAGAATCTTGGTTGGCTGGATCCGGAAAGGCCATTTGATTCCTAAAATCAGGTGAAGAACACTGGACCTTATTTGCAGGCAGTGGGAAGTCAGTGCAAGTGGAGAGCAGGACAATTCAGAAAACTGTGGGGACTACACAGTGGACAGCTGAAAAGAGGATCAGTGGTAAGAGACGATGCCCCAGTATGGACGACCAAGATTGAACAGGCTGCCTCTCACAAGGTCCAAGGGGGTTGTGGGTGGAAGCGGATTCAAGATAAGAGGAGGCCCTCAAGTTCATTACCCTTTAGTCACCTCTCCGACTTGAGAAGGTCAATGGCTTCGAATTTTTTAAATAAGTCATGCACTTACGCATTTCAGAATAAAAAATTCCTTTTCATGTGAGAATGAGGTTATTTCCAAAATCTTTCTTTTGCTAAAAGGCTAAGGAGAGTCCACATGTGGCAGAGCTGGAGAAGAAGCAGTGGGAGAGAATGCTATTGAGGGATGCCAGCCATGACCACAGCATAATGCAGATAAAAAGTTCCTCAGCACTGTGGTTAACACAAAATTATTGTTCTAAAAAAGAATGTGTGGGTGAAATGCAATTCGTTAAAAATTCTGATACATGCTACCACTTGGGTGAACCTTGAGGACATTTTGTTAAGTGCAGTAAGCCAGACACGAAAGGACAAATGTCATGAAATTCCACTTATATGAGACTCTAAGCACTATTGAATTCAGAGAGAAAGAAGGTAGAGTAGTGGAACCAGGGGCGAAGGGGAAGAAGAATGGGGAGTTATTGTTGAATGAAGTCAAATTTTCAGTGTGCAATGGTGAAAAAAGTTCTGGAGATGCGCAGTAGTAACAGTTGA